CTTTCAATACTATCATTTCAGTGTTCACTAAAGACTGTATATATAATTGCAAATTTAGACTCTTTAGAGGGCAAGTGGTTATTTAAATGAAATCCAAAAGCCCTCAATCTGGTGTTGCTTTGCTTTTATGCTTGCTGTGTGTACTTAGACTTTTATAGATATTGTGTCTTACTTGCATAATAGCTCCCTCCCCAACTCATTTTATGCTATAAGAACTTGTGGTTTGGACCTGCTGTGGATGCCTTAACTTATTGGCTTTCACAAACCTTGATCACCCGTACTTCCTCGCTAATAAGCGTGAGCGCCCTTGAGATATTGTTGCACGCTTATGTTTCTTTGTGATCACAATCCCCATTTCCGCACAAGGCTTGCTTCCTTGCCGCCAAACGGCAAGAGTGTGTCGCACGATTCGGTGCCAAAACACTCGAAATGATTTTCGAGGGGAAGGAGGGAGTTTTAGGGTGGGGAGAAGATGGTTGAAAAGAAAGGACGGAGGGACTGGGTGGTTAGGGTCTAGGTTAGGAGGGTATCGTGGGTGCTCGGTAGGGGAGCTCTGGGCGCCAGCGGGAGCGGGTGGTGGTGGGGTGGATGCTGATAAGGAGGAGAGGTTTTGTTTTACTTTTTTTATTATTTAATATTTTAAGTATTTTGTAATTTTAAGGTTTAAAAAAACAAAATTGTTAAAAAAATTGATCAACAACATTGTGACAAGTGTCATAGGTAAGCTATTAAACAGGTTACCAAATTAAAAGGTCACGTTCCATTTTGGTAAATGTGTGTCAAAGTTCCTTCCATTTTGAAATAATCTAAAGGTCCTTGCATGTTGAAATAATATAAAGGTCGTTAGCCCGATGAAAAGTGGTGGTATTCCTGACAATTTATCCTTGTATTTTAATGTGTAATTTCTAATAAATACATGCTTTGCAGGCTAATATGATTAGTCTAATTACATTATAATTATTTTTAAGGTAAATTTTTTGTTAAAATAGTAACTTTTGTAGTATAAAGAGTAACTTGAAATATTTTTAGTGTCACTTTAACACATCTTACAATAGCTTAATAAAAGTTCACCTTTAAAAAAAAATTGAATATCATTGGATAATCAATGGTACCATATATGCATAAATTTAGTATATTATTAAATGCTTTTATTGTATCACTATATACATATATAATACCTACCCCATAATATTCATTGGTATTTGATGAGTGTCATTTATGGCACTCATAGGGTAGTCTTTTAGGGTTATTTCTTTCCCTTTTTCATGCTTTCTTCTCTTATTTTTGGTCCTTTTTCCTTTAGTTTCTCTTTCTCCTCTTTTCTTTATGGTTCTCGTGTTTTTCTCGTGTTTTCCTTTTATTTGGCTCTTTTTCCCTTTTATTTCCTTTCTTTGTTTGCTTGTGTAGGTATTTGGAGAATCACCTTTGCAAAGGAATCAAGTTGGGACCTTAATGACCAAGTAAGGAAGAAGCATTTGGCTAGAGAGGGCTTAGAGAGGCCTTGGAGAGGCCTTAGAGAGGTCTCCAATGTATTTCCAGCAGGCCGCGGGCGCGGGTCAGTAGAGCCGCGGGCGCAGGCTCAAGAAGAGCAAATTGCAAGATTTTGGCAGGAGCTTCCCGCGGTTGCCCCGCGGGCTCTCCGCGGGCGCGGGAAAGCTGGAGAGGGCGCTCCATCTCAGAGAGACCGCGGCCCCCTGATTGAGTTTTGGGAGCAGGGGATTAGCCGCGGGCGCGGCATCTTTGGCCGCGGGTGTTGCCTAGAAATCCCGCGGAGGGTTCCGTACCCATTTCTCCGCGGCCGCGGATTCATCGAGAGAGGCCGCGGGATTTGCCGGTTTCTTCTTTACTTATAAATAGAATTGTAATTCCTTTTTGAAAACAACTTTTTGATAATATTTCATTAGCTTAGTTTTAGAGAGAGAATTTAGAGAGAAGTTCTTGGTTTTGGATTTGTAACTCAACATTTGATCAATCAAGTTTGGATTTCTTCATTTTCAATCATTAATATTAGTGAGAATCTCTTCCTTCTTTCATTTCTTTGGATTTGAATTTGATATTGTTGAATATTTTGATTTCTCTTAGATTTTGATATAGAATGATGATTAATTTAATTTCTAGTTATTTGTTCTTGAATTTCACCATGATTAGTGAGTAGATTAGTTGCTAGGGAAAGGGGGAAGCATGTTTGATTAATGAAATTTCTAGTTGATGCTCTTTGATTGATTGATTTGTTGCAATTAAATTGGTTGACATAGTTTTGCATGTGATTGATTAGACTAGGAGTGATCAACCTATAAGATTAATCTAGATTGCATTGCAACTCTTAATGACATGAACAATTGATTGAAAGTTGCTCTAATTGATTGGGGTTGCTTGTGATTCTTCTTGATTTGCCTTTCATAGTGACACCTAGATTGGCCTATAGGAGATAGCATTTGAACTCTCTTGATTGCTACTATTGTTTGTCCATTGCAATACTTGAATTAATTGATTGAGCTCTAAACTAGAATTATCATTGAACTTGCATGTGGAACCCATATCCCTAGTGTCTAGACCTTTGATTTACTTGATTAGACTTGTTTTAGTTTACCATAGTGCCAACCATAATCTAAACTCCATCTTCGAGGTAGCTTGACTTAGACTCTAGTTTCCATCATTGCATTCCCTAGGGATCGACCCTTAACTTGCCCTATATTCATATAAGGTTGGTTAGGTGTTTACAAATTTAGTTTGACTTGGGGAAGGGTAGATAACGACATACATTTTCCCCTTGTCAGTATTAGAGCTGGCAATCCTGACCCGACCCGAATGACTCGACCCGTGATCCGAAATTGACCCAAAAACGTAGAGCTAAAATTGACCAGAACACAAAACTGACCCGACCCATACCTGATCCGAAGAAGAGTTGACCCGAACTTAGCCCGATACTGGAATTGTCCAGACCCAAAATAACCCAACTCGAATTTGACCCGATACTCGAAGTGACCAGACCCGAAAGTGACCCGATACCCGAAGTGATCTGAAACCGAAGTGACCCAACCCGATTTTGACCCGAATTGATTAACTCGAATGAACCCGAAGCCCTAGCAACCCGAAACGACCCGATCCAAAATTAACAAATAATCAAAATGACAACTTTACCCAAATAAACACTTATCAAAATTAACCTAAATTAAAAATTATATTATTGTGTGTATAATACTGTTGAAATGTGCATATAATTTAGTACTCGTAATTCATAAATAGTTACATTTGATTAGGAACACTAGTTATTGTTATTGTTATTATCACTATTACTCTTAGCTTCTTTTAAGTGTTACATTGAATTTTTTTTTCCACTTTTCACTTTATCTAATGGGGGTTGTTATTCGTCGCTCCCATTTTACCGGGTAACGCTCCCATTTTGACTTTAAGTTCCAATTTTACCCCTAACATATAAATACGGTTTTTTCCACTATACGACTCACATTTCTCACTTTCTTACTTCTCTCTCTAACTCTCTATCTCTCTAAAACACTCTAAATCTGAAAAAAAATTTCTTCCAAATTTTTTTGTTCATTTTTTAAAAAAAACAACAATCATCAAAAACACAAAAAGGATGGGTGATTCGAGGCGAATAAGGCTGACATTCGGAGGGAGGAGTTTTGGCGGCGGTGGAGGCAGCGGGAGGCGGCGGCGACGGCGGCGAGCAGGTGAATTTTTTTTTTTTAAATACAGAACTTGGAACTTTCGCCTAAAAAATCCGGAAGTTCCAAGGAGGATCTGCCTGGAATTTCCGGATCCTCCCTGGAACTTCCGGAAATTCTGGGCGGATCTAACTTCCGCCAAAAATTTCCGGAAGTTCCAGGGAGGATCCGGAAATTTCAGGCGGATCCTCCTTGGAACTTCCGGATTTTTTGGGCGGAAGTTCCGATTTTTTTTTTTCGTTAATAATATGGTTTTTTAATTTTTTATTGTTAATTTAATTTATTTTTTTTGGATTTTGTTATTTTTGTTGTTATTTTGAAGTGTTATGGTTAGTATTATTATTATTATTATTATTATTATTATTGTTGATATTATTATTATTATTGTTATTATTATGGTTAGCATATTTTGTACTGTTATTATTTTTAAAAATATGATTAGTATTATTATTTTGTTGATATTAGGGTTTTTATTATTATTGTTATTATGGTTATTGTTGTTGTTGTTAATTTTGTAGTGTTATCTTTTTTTTTTGAAGCATATTTTGTAGTGTTATTAGTAGTACTATTATAATTTTTAAAAATATGATTAGTATTATTATTATTGTTGTTGATATTAGGGTTTTTATTATTATTGTTATTATGGTTATTGTTGATGTTAAATTTATTTTTTGTTTTTGTTGTTGTTGTTGTTGTTGTTATAATAATATTATTATTATTGTTATTAGTAGTACTATTATTAATATTTTTAATTATGATTAGTATTATTGTTGTTGATATTAGTGTTATTATTATTGTTATTATGGTTAATGTTGTTGTTGTTAATTTTATTTGTTGTTGTTGTTGTTGTTGTTAATTTTAATTTTTTTTGTTGTTGTTATTACGATTATGATTGTTGGTGTTGTTGTTTTGATTATTGTTTATTATTATTATTATTATTATTATTATTATTATTATTATTATTATTATTATTATTATTATTATTATTATTATTATTATTACTAAAATCGGATTTTGTACTTATTTTATGTAGATCGAGGGTTCTGGTGCTCGACATGCAATATCACGACGTCTAAATGCGTCTGTTAGGAGACAGTCATCTCGATCAGCACCGATTCAGCCCGAGCAGTAGCAATACGGGTCTACTAGTGGTTGGTCGGGAGACCCACAGTCTGGTAGTAGTCGGCCCCACAGTCTGGTAGTAGTCGGCCCTTGTACTCTGCAAGTGGAGCACCCATATCTGACGAGGAAGACGAATGCTCGGCTAGTCATGCTGGTGACCGGGATGAAGAACCGGACCCTCAGGATTACCATATGGTATATAGGGGTCAGTTTGGGAGATTTGTTGGTAGTGGATCGAGTCAGCCTACTACCAACTCTGCAGAGGCATGGTTAGTGCAGGAAACGATGTCGGGTGGTCCTGAGGGTGGGACTGTTATCCCTAGTTTTGGCGGTCACGTGGCACGGTATATCTGGATCGAGCAGGAACGTAGTGTTTTGCGTTGTTTGAGTAGGACAAAGTTATGTTCTGACTTGTTCACTTGGAGAGGTCGTCAATCTGTGGAGGACCTCGGGGCGATTGATGCTAGTTGGTTGTCTCACTTGCCCGACCTGATGTTTAAAAGACTTGATTGGCCGTTGATTTCTGCTTTTGTTGAGAGATGGCAGCCAGATATGAACACCTTTCACTTGCCATTTGGGGAGATTACGATCTTGTTGCACGACGTGTACAACATACTTGGGTTACGTGTCGTAGGCAATATGGTCACCACTACTCCTAGAACGGACGTGTTACGGGACGCGTGCTCGATCACCATGGATATGACTCCAGATGATTTGTCTGAGATTTGCGGCACAAAGACCATTTGGCAGGGTAGTGGGGTGTTGACTGATAAGATTTTTGAGTCGACATTGGCGGTTGACCGGGAGTTTAGTGATCAGCTTAATGGATACTTGTGGTTAGTGCTTGGAAGTACACTGTTTGTAGATAAGAGTGGTAACCGTACGCATCCTTCCTTCCTCCACGAGCTATGTTACATGGATGTCCCTGTTAACGAGTATGCTTGGGGAACAGCTGCACTGGCCTACTTGTATCAGCAACTGGGCACGACATCACGGAAAGGTGCTGATTCGATTGCTGGTTGTCTCACGCTTCTGCAAGCGTGGATTTACGAGTACTTTCTGTGCTTTCGACCACAGTAGGGTACCTTGACCCGGGACCTTCAAATGCCTCATGCGTCTACTTGGGATGTTGGAGCGGGATGTCCTAGCAAGAACCTGGAGCGCCTGTTATCTTTTCGTACTAGAATTGATGCGCTTACTGACCGTGAGGTGAACTGGCTACCGTACGGAGCTGATCATGCATTACGAGTGCCCCCCACTTTATTCATTGGCTGCATCCAGTATCGTAACATCATTGAGCCGTACATGCCTGATAGAGTGGTGCGACAGCTTGGTTTCGTGCAAGGCATTCCCCGCGAGATCATCAGGTCAGAGAAGGCCAAGAGGCCGACTAACTTGAAGATGTATCGGGTAGACTTCCCGACCGAGATGACAGATGTGATGTGGAAGAGGTTTGTCCCTGGGGTATCTCAGAGTGTAGTTTTAGGTGCCCTCACCAGGCTTAGTGCTGCATCACCTTCGGTTGCGCCTGGTTACATGCAGTGGCTGTACAGGTTTTCTCACCCGCGGGTATCTCCAGGTGCAGGAGTTACAAGCAACCTACCTGAGCGGACTAACACTGATTATGTAAGTATTTATGCTTATTATAAAATTAACAATGACTTATATGAATTTTTGTGTTTATAATATGTTATTGTTTGATTTGCAGTGGATGGGTCGGTCCATGGAGATTCACCCAAGAGCACTGGCTGAGTATCCTGAAATGTCGAGTGAGACTCGGACAATGACTGAGCAGCTTGTATTTGATTGGAAGTAAAAAATGGGACTTTAGATTATTTTGATTAGAAGTCGTGTTAGTGGTTTTAATTATGTTATGAACTTATTTATTTTTTTTTAAATGTAATGTATAAACTGGACACTTATTTATTTTATATTTTATGTTTTGTTGCATATCATGTTAGATTAAAAGCAAGTACATTTAAAATTAATTTCATAATTCTAATTTTTTTTACAAATGTTCAAAGTTAGTGAATGTACATTACAAACTACCTAACTAATGCATCCCACATGTCCCTTCTTAATTGATATTGTTGGTCCCATCCATTAACACTATCCTCGTGGAGTTCAGTCCACCAACTGGCGATTGGCGGGAGAGGTGAATCAGGTACAAGGTCAAGACGGATGAAATGTGAACCACCAACTGTAGCAATCACAAACTCTCGAGTCGGTGACCGAACCCCGTTGCGTGCCCTCAGCGGTAAGACTGTGATGCATGGGTAGTAGCAAGTTGGTACTAGGCCTACCCCGAGACAAATCACCCTTGCGTTGAACCACGTAGCAATTTGAAATAAATCTTGAATTGTAACCATCCAATGCCGCTCCCCGACAGCCCCACCATCCCATCGAATACGCTCTACGTTCATCCAAAGTCGACCAAGCCCGTAAATCCGTTCGTATAAATCAGGATGACTAGCGATCTCGTTCGCTATTGTTTCCCGAGCATCAAACCACAGCGCCTGATCGCCAAAGAAGAAGTCCGCGACACAACGAAAGCCACAGTTCCCATCACCAATGACATCCTTCCAAGACGAAATGTACGGAAACATTGGGCCTAGAAGCAAGTTCAAATACCTGCATTGACTAATGTTACTCGGATCTACAACACAAAATTAAAAGATAAATTATCAGTAAAGCTACAAGTATTAAGTTTACATATATTAATATTACATATAGAATTTTAATATTACCTAGTTCTGGGTCACCACCACGTTGAGTGTGTTGACGGTTCACATGCTTGAAATAACTACGATCACGCCTGGTGTCATTGTTCCTCGGTCGACCACGAGTGTCGAGATTGACATGTGGTTCTTCAAGGTGTGTATGATCCGGATGTAGCTCCTCTTCAATGATTCGCGTTACATTTCGACGTACGGCCGGGTCACTTTCCATGACTTCATCAATTAGGGACCGAAAATGTGCAGCCTCCTCGGTCGAATCATTAACCACTTCAGGAATGTTAACACCATCACCAATAACCAGTGTCTTCCAGAAAGAATGAATTTGGCTGCTATACAATCCTGTGTGTGCAACTATCGAATCATGTATCTGGCGAGCACATGGAAGACCTTGGGTCACACGCATAGCACATCCACACCGTTCATGGACCTAGTAACTCAAATCCCGCATCCTTTTCGTCTCGTTATCCAGTTCTTTCAAGCAATGTTGAGACACTTTGCCATTTATACGTGACAGTGGCAACTGTCTGTATATCTGACCAATTTTAGACCTTGATGCCACCAACTCATTACGAATTTGTATGATTCGATTACCGATATGACAATGGACTCGGGCCCATACGGTATCCAAAGAACCTGCCAATGATTCAAATTAGTAAATACATTTTAATTTTTTTTATTATAATTACAATTACGTAACAACGAGAATAACTAATAAAATAATACAACTAACCTGTGGATGATTCAAACCAAGTTTTCACTGCTGAATGTTGGCTCTCAACTCTGCAGTTGGTGGTGTTACCAAAGTGAAGAACCTGGTTCGTCCAAAATTTCACAAATTTCTCCTTATGACAAAGCCATGTTCTCTGAACATACTGAATCACTGCCGGATATTTTCCCCACCTCACTTGCATGGTAGGTAGAGCATGATCATACTCCACCTGTGTTGTTGCATTCACGATTTTGATCCATTTGCCATTTCTAAAACTGACACCAACCTTCTTGTTTCCGAACATCTTCGTCACCTTGGCCTCCACATCTCTGTTGATGTGCCATAGACAGAGTAAATGTGACGTCCGTGGAAAGACTTCTCTCAAAGCCGCACATAGCCCAAGATCACGATCTGAAATAAATACAGATGGCTCTTTATCAAACCCAATCAACTCCCTTAATCTCTGCAACACCCACCGATAGCTAGCCGTGCACTCGTCGCTCATGAAAACATATCCAACTAGAAAATTCTGGTTTGTCGGTGTCACACCTACTACCTCAAAGAAAGGCATGTTATATCAATTGGTCTTGTAAGTAGAATCCATACCTATGACATGTGGGTATGTGCAGAGTATGTTGACCATGATCAGGTGCACCATAAATGCATGTTGCAAAACGTTGTGATCATCGTTCGTGACCCAGTAAATGTATTTACTCTCTCTCGCCAGATGAAGAAATTGCTGAACAACTCCTCTTCCTTCGGACATCTCCATCCTGAAGTCATTCCGGCAATTGTAAATGTGTCGGATGTTTGGATGATCATCAGGAAATTGCTCGGAAAAAGTGGACATGATGTTACGGGGAGCAACCTTGGACTTTGTCATGTCCCGCACAACCTGTTTTGCACCCGGACTCAATCCGCTCACTTTACGGTGACGCTCTTGGTACACAATCATTGGGTGGTTATGTGTCCCGGTGTGATCATTTTACGCAATGATCTTCCAACTGTCGGTGCTGACTTCATAATATATCTTGATGTAGAATGGACAACCATTAGCTTTGGTTTTGGTATCCTCCCGTATCGCGTTCTCCAAATCTCTCGACTTGCTCCTTCGTGACCGATCACATCGCAAATACCGATACGGCCGACCATCTCTGGTTTTGTTATAAGACGATTTCACCAATATAAATCCCAATTTTATGGAAACACCATCAGCCCATGTAACTGCATCGTCAAATGTTGGAAAAAACATATCCGTGACAAAATTCCCACTATAATTCACACCGTCACCTCCTTCCTCAGATTCCATATCCTATACAAATTAAACAAAACATGGTTTATGTCAAAATAATAATAATAATAATAATAATAATAATAATAATAATAATAACAATAACAATAATAATAATAATAATAATAATAACAACAACAATACTAATACTAATAATAATAATACTAATAATAATAATAATAATAATAATAATAATAATAACAATACTAATACTAATACTAATAATAATAATAATAATAATAACAACAACAAATAGAAAACAATAACAATATTAATAATAATATTAAAAATAATAATAAAAAATTATAACAATAAATACAAAACAATAATACCATAACATTAATTAATAATAATAATAAATAATAATAATAATAATAATAATAATAATAATAATAATATTTATAAAATTATATTTCTAATAATTAATAATAAGAATATCAACAACAACGACAATAATAACAACAACAACAACAACAATAATAATAACAACAACAACAACAACGATAATAATAATAATAATAATAATAATAATAATAATAATAATAAAAATAATAATAATAATAATGATGATGATAATAATATTTTCAATGAAAATAATAATGTAAATAATAATAATAATGTTACAAAAAATAATCATATTACTAATAATCATATTAATACAAAAATAATTACATTAATTATCAAATACTTAATCACAACAACAATCACAAGACCACGAAAAAAAAAACAAAAAAAAAAAAAAATAATTAACATTAAAAAAAAATTAACGTAATTAACATTTTTTTAAAAATAAAAATTAAAAAGGGACATCCGCCTAAAATATCCGGATGTCCTAGATAGATCCATCTTAAATTTCCGGATCTACCATGGAAGATCCGGATTTTTCAGGCGGATCCCTACTTCCGCTTGAAATTTCCGAATGTTCCATGGTAAATCCGGAAATTTTAGGCGGATTTACCTAGGACATCCGGAAATTTTAGGTGGATGTCCTATTTCCAGAAAATAAAAAAAAATAGAAAGCTTACAGAATGTTCCGACGCATTCTCCGGTGTACGAATGTTCCACTCGCCGTCCATGACCCAAGACCCGTTGGAAAATTTTACGATTATTTTTTTTTTAAAATAAAAGAAATTAAGGTGATCGTGGGGACCGATTTGGTTTTAAGGTCGTGGGGACCGATTTTGGGAGGCTCGGGATAGCAAGGTCGTAAAGTGAGGGGACCGTTTCATGTAATGTGTCCAAATGGGGGAACAAGGTCCTTTTTATAACACAGATTACATAAAGGGCATAGTTGTCCATTCAAGTCAAAATGGGAGCGTTATCCGGTAAAATGGGAGCGACGAATAGTAGTTCAGTATCTAATTTGAATATTAACAAATTCAATGATAGAGATCATACACATGAAACAATACAGTCTTGTGTATATAGTAATGTTAGAATTGTCTAATGAATATATTATTAATATTCAATTGTTATACTTTATACTTATTCATAATTATAATATATTATTGGTCAAATTTCTACATCGACATAGACGAAGATTGACCCAAATTGACCAGATTCGAACTCAACCGGACTCGAATTTGACCCGACCCCAACTTGATTCTATAATTGGACCCAAAGATTGACCCGACCTGAATTGACTCGACCTAAAATGACCCGACCCAAACTTAACCCGACCCGAACTCGACTCAAAGTGTTGACCCGATACCCAACCCGACCCGAATTACCATTAATCCGGCTCGAACTGACCCGACCCGTACCCGACCCGAACGACCCATTTGTCAGGTCTAATTGGTATGATCATTTTATCATCCAATGTTAGTACTCAAAATTTAAGATATACGAAGTATATATTTGCTCATACATACATATAATTACTTATATAGCCCTTGTTATGCACAAGCCCGGCGGTGCCTCTTGCTTGCTTAAACCAGGGTTTGGGCCCGTTTGGGTTGGTTTTTTGGATAGCACAGCTCAAGCCACAAGGCACGAAGCCAGTGGGCCGCACCTAGAAGGTCCTTGACAAGCACATCTTCTTGTCATCTTCTTGCATATGGATGTGGTCCACTGAAGTGCGCGGGAGCCTGAACAATTAAAATACAGTTATGATGAACGAATTGAGTTCGTTGGCCTCTGCTTTGATGAATTCAAGGTTCGAATTCTCAAATTTTATGACAATTATCTTCAATTTTCTGTGAAATTTATTGTTTTGGGATTAGATGATTTCGTCTATTGTTTATCGTTTAAGCTTTGAAACCCTAACTTTTTTGCAAAATTCTCAAATTTTGCTCCTTTTTGTTCGTCGAATAATGTTGTTCTGAACAGATGCAATGGACGAGGATGGAATTAAAGGGGATTTGAAACATTTGGGGTGTGAATTCATGTATTAAATTTATTGATTTTTGTTTAAGTGAATGTCGTCCATAATGTGTTTGATGAAATGTCTCAATGGAAATTGCCATGATAGAAATATGGGATGTTTTGAGATGATTTCATGCTAAAAGTAACACTTGTATATGTTATTCTGTCTTTCCTGTCAATTGAATAGCCATTACTGCTAAATTAGCGTATGAAACACATGATCAAGAAAAAGCCTCATAAATCTAATGGTATAGGAGGCGTACAAGAGGACTAAATTCGTGTCATTCAATTCTGTGAAAGGCTATGCTGTCAAACTGTTATATTGCTGAAAGTTCCATACTAGTTGAAGCGATGGATGTTGGTTCCGAATTTTGAACATTTTGGTGTTGTTCAAGTCACTCTTATGCCCAGCTTAATCCGTTGAGGTCCAAGTGTCTGATGCTTGAAGGAACATCATGCTCATCTTGGGCATTTAAGTCTAGATCACTACTAAATGGAGCAAGTTTGTAGTTCTTATTATCGAGCTGAAATGTGTTCTTCTCAAGCTGATCTTGTGTATCTCCTCCGATCCCGACACTCATGGACAAATCACTACATGTTCCTTCCATTTGAAACACCATCTTTTCTGTGTCCTGTTGAGTTGTTGTAGGGAAAAGTATTGTTGCATGCTCTTTTAGATTTCCATTGAAATCATTTCCCTCCAAGAATCTGGTATCGTTGTATGGTCTTAACCCCAACTCACTATTCTGCATATCTTGCTCTCTCAGCTGAGGTCCATCACATGAGGTTAAGCAGCTATCAATTGAACAATCCCCTATCGGTTTGTGGGGTTGTATTTGCTGCTTAGGGCATACCCCGTGCTGTTCTTCTTCCATCTCCGCGAAGGCTAAGTTCAAGCATTGGTTGGATACCTTTGAAACCAATTCAGAGAGCTGAAGTTTCGCTGCTTCCAAACCAACTACACCAATATTCTGCTTTCCAAGAGTCTCCTGAGCTTTTTCTAAGACTGACTGAAGGTATTTTCCTTGAGCCTCTATCCTTAACTGTAAACGCCGCTGCACCTAATTCCACATAAATTCATAAAGGGATAAATAAGGGTTTATAATCTCAGAAGTAATTAACCCAACAAGAAAAATCTTGGAATAGATTAATTGTCTCATACATGTATCAAGCTTTTTCAGATGAGTGTAAATTTGGAAGTGTTTTAATTAATTAATTTATTTATTTTACCCTTTTATCCTGTAGTGACCTAACACTTTCTTGGTATTATTTTTATTACAAAGCAATGCATATGAAGTATCGTTGGCATGTACAGGCACAAAATACAACAAAATTTATTCTTCATTTTATACCCCACATCTTTGTCACGACTGTTCTTAGGATGTCTCTGTAAATTCTGAGCAGCTGTTGTTGTTTCCGCATTAGGTGAAAGGCCATTCTGTTTGAATTGGAAGTAGACAGGATCATGTACCTCAAGCTGCTCGTGTAGCCTTCTCTGGACTTCGATTTGCATCTGCAATGCTTCGTTTATATGTAAGTTCCTGAGTTTTAACAATAAGCTGTTAGTGCAAATTATGGCATAAAAATCATTTTGTTGGATTTAATCACAGTAATGGAAATCATATTTACTTGTTTGTTTGGTGGGCAATGTTGATGCTGCTGGTATGGGAAGGACCGGTTTCTGGTATTTTGTCGCCAGACATGACAACTGTAAATGTGTATTATCAGTTAAATTTACCATCTTAAGATATTTTTTTAGAAGTATTATAAAGGATTTTGATGAGAAGGTTATCCTACCAGTTTTGTTGGCACCGCTTGAGGTTTGTCCATGAATATTCTTGCTCAGTCTGTATTTCTGCTAACCAATAATGAAAAGAACGTTAGAAACTGCAATTTATATTCCTCTTCTCAAGAAAAGAGTTGGAAAAGAGGATGTATTGGAACTTAGATGACCATCTTGGTGCGTATGAACCAAACCGAAATGTAAGGGGTTGCCAATTATGCCAGTATGCAAAATAGACAAATCAGCAAGGGTGAAGCCTGAACTCTGTCATTTAGAGAGTGATAATCACCTGAAGATGACTCTTTAGGTGGTATAAAGTCAGCCCTGGAATTCCCATGAGTTTCATAACTGTTTTCGGGGTAGCCTCTGCAAAATATACAAGGAATAGAATTGGTTAGCTGACCTATTTTATATTACATGTCTACTGCGTATCCCTGTTCAATATTTAACTTCAGGTTAGAGTTAGACATACTATCTGCTCCCCCGAGTTGATTTACTGCTTCTACAAATCGTTCGTGAAGATCAGGTGTCCATTTCAGTCTAGGCTTTGCATCAGTTGAAAGGACAAGATTTGAATCCCTAGAGCCATTTCCACCTTGCAGGAAGAGCTGCCTTTCCTGAGGAGCTGGCATTCTTGTAGAAGCGTACATGTTTGTTTGGGTTGGGTGATGAAACATATCCTGCCTTGAAGATGACCAATCTTAATTTGATGTAAATCTAGAAAACATCAATTGCTCTTATCTTGTTGGAACTTTTACCTGAGGAAATAGATGTTTGCTTTTGTAGTAAAATTTACGAGGCTGAGCCTTGGTTTTTCCAAATTTTTTGGTTGTTTTCTTTGCTTCCTAAATAATATCTTATACTCTCTTGAGAAACCAAATTATCTTCTACTTCTTATGGAGAAAAAAAGGCAAGCTATGGGAGGCTTTTATAAGAAGGAGAAGAAGAGGTGATATAAAGTTGTGAGAATATGGAATCTTGGACAGAGCCAACAATGAACGCAACCTAATCTATTTTTCATAGCAACTCAAAAGAGATCTTGTCCTTCCTGTTCTGTCGTCCACTTTCCACACTCAGAACCAAACTTCTAGTTTGAATTCCTCTGAACTGAACTTTTCAGAACATCACATAAATTGCACTAAGTACCAGAATAAATGCACAACAGTTTTCTATTATATCTGCTAATTATATTCTTAGTTTATGAAGCGGCTCCTTTTTTCTCCCCAAATTTATATTCTTTGATCTGGCAAAACTAGAACCTTATTCCCTGATGGTATATAGGAATCCTCTGACTTGGACAGGAGAATCCACTAACTGTATTCTCCTGAAATTTTCAAAGTCGTCCCTCTTACTGTACATCATATGGTAAATATTGCAATTTTAAGCCTTGTTCATTGCCTTCTAATAAATCATCATTTATTATCAATGACTTTGAATTCTATATCGTTGAGGATGAACAACAACACCATGCTATTAAAGGGCTGAGATAGAGACATAAGCAAGTAAATGTAACCGTTTCTAATGTGGAAATTGCTAGGGGAAGATTCTGTTGACTGGAGCATCATAAAACTTTAGTATATGATATTGACAAGAAAAAATGAAGAAGATGCTTAATTTGGGACATTGTTTGAGGGAAAAGCATGGAATATGGAATACATACTATTATGTCTCCTTCAGTAAATATGGAACTTATTCAACCCACTTATTGTAAATACATCGGTGGACCCAAATCTGTCTCACTGCCATTTGGCTTGAGCAACTAGTCCCACACTGATAGTTTTAGAGATTAAGGCCTGGTAGTATTGCTGAGTATTGTACTTGCTTCTTTTCTCAAAGATGTGTCTTTCTTTTGTGTAGGACCATTTACCTTGCTTATGACTTGTTCTGTGATTCCCTCCAAATACACATTTAATACCTTGCTTTACTATTAAAACAATAAAACATGCATATACACATGTATTTAATATATATGTATATACCATGTGAATTAATTGAGTTTGGGCATGAATCATGATCCTCTTCATATTGTGTTATGTACTTTTTGTAAATAACATATGCTTGTGTAAAATCATGTCTGCTGCTGTAAAAACTGTGTAGATATGTCTGCTGCTGTAAAACCGTTGCAGATACGAAGTATATACATGCATATAATGTGCTCTTGTTTTTTTGCTCTTATATGTATTGTGCCCTTCTTGCAATTTGTACAAATCATACAAAAATTATTCTTCATATGATGAATATTTTTTCCTCTTCAGGTCTTTTGCACATAGACACACTGAGAAGCAAACTTTTACAGACCCTTTTGGAATACCATCAATTGGCGAGGTATTAAGGTTCTTAATAATTCATTGCAAGTTATTCTTGATGCTCTTTCTGAATTTATTTCATGATATATTATCGTATACAAGTCTTTTCTGTTATAATAATGACAAAGTTGACAATCCATCAATTGTTAGCAGTACTAAAACTGGTGACTAATCAATGATGATAATGATAATGAAAGAAATGCTAGTGCTTTAACTATATCTACAACATAAGACTTCAATAACAAATTCGTATTTTCAGCATTGATTCCAAATCAACCCAATAACTCAAAATCCACAAAAAAAATAAAATAAATAAAAAAATAAAATAAAATTGTCGTACTGCCTAATCAGTATTTTACAAGCAATATTTCGCATGAAAGTATCTAAAAATGGGGAACTTTTCTTTAATCTTTGCACGGAAATTGGGGAATTTAAACTAGCGAACATTAATATATAGCATCATAGCAACTCCAGACTCAGTTTGCCTTTTTTTGTGGAGGATAATTTGATTCTGATTTGTCAGGATATAAATTTGGAATCAATAAGCCTTTTGAAAAAAAAAGTTTTAAAGTGACTTTGTTCACTAGTTACTTGGCATGTGGAAATGGAATAAGCTTCACCATGATACTTTCTACCATTATGATTCTGTTTATCAACAATTTGTTTAGGCAATTATCCTTTCATTAGGTTGTTTAAACAAACTTGTAAACCTTGTTCTTAAAATCATTCTCTGTAATATGGGATCCTTTAGAGCCATGGTGTACCGGGTTTTGATTTATCTGCAACCTAGTTGGTTCTTCGTATCATTGTTCAAATAAAGAGCATTTTCAAAAGTTGGTGGAGTTTTTAAGAAGTGAAGAGAATGCCTATACGGTTGTAATAAAGTCATGACGCATGAACCCTGACCCATGACTTATCTACACGGAAGCAATACTTTGTTCAGTTTGATACGGAGTGAATTTTTGTGTCTTCTGCAAGAGTGCTCTCATACATATATATTTATCTTTAAGGCAAACATAAGGATGTTCAGATAAAAAAAAAAACAGTGTACCACCATTTTGTCAATTCTGTGTATAAATTCTTAGTTCATTTCCTTATACTTGGATGCATATTATTGCTCTCTTTCTGTTATATGCCTCTGTCTCCTGTTGCTCGCACTAGTGTGTGTTTCCTTATAATTTTCTCTGTATGTAGTTCCTGGATGAAGTCCTACCCAAGTAATCCTTTTACTCTAGACTAGATATTGAATGACTTCTGCTTATGACACATTGTTAAATATTCTAAATGCCCTGATGTTAAACAGTCAATGTTATACAAACTGACAGTTTTACCCTTACGCAATGAACTAGAAAAGTGAAAATTGCAAGGCATGGTAAAAAATAAAAAAAAAAAAAAAAAAAAAAAAAGCAGCACTCTTTCCCCCCTATTTTACCCTTTTTATTTGGTTAATACTTTTGGTGTACTCAATAATATTTAAAAGCTAATGATAAGTCGATAATCAAATAGTACTGTAAAATACCTTATTGATTCTCTATGAAATGAACCGTCTGTTTTATTGGCTTCCAAGTTTGTCTTAGGCACTTAGGCATCTCTATGACTGTTTGAAGACTAGGAACTTGGCTAATTATACTATATGGGCCAATAACACCTGGGAAAGATGCTTCATTTCTGCTTGACAAACAAGTTTTATATTTATCAAAAATTTGTAAATGCAAGAGTATTAACAATTCCTTGATGTCCCAGAAAACCTTTTTCATCTTATCTTTGCTCACTTTGTTTGCTTCATGTGCAGGCTAGGAATAAGAATGCTCATTGTTGTACATTAGAGTACTCGCCTTTTCCACTGTTTGGATTTACTGTGGCTATCTTCTCCCAAAGGCGTATGATTCTCCACATTGGTGAAAGAAGGAAACTTATAAGGTATTGTTCGATTTCTGTACTTGCATTTCCTTTTAAGGCCCCTTATGTGATGTTAAGGCATCTAGTGATGGAAAAACAAATGGGGTGGGGTCGTGTTTGGATGCTCAAAGTCGACCTCCCCCCTCATCCCCAAAGCTAAATCAAAGGGGAAGGGGCCTACTTAGGCCGATCCATCCATCTCATACTATTTGGCTAATTTAACATTATTGAAGTTGTGTTACTTTCCGTACCTATTTATAACTAGGTGAAATGAACATTACCTTACTTCCTTTAGAATACAACTATTGTTTCTATTATTATATGGTTCAAAATAATCTTATGATAGCCCTTGAAAATTTGTGTCAATATCTATATGCTCGACCACCTTACCTTAGGTACCTAGAAATTGAACTAATGCGAGTCACGTCAAAAACTAAGTGGTGGAGGGAGAACCACCGCACTCGTGCGTGGCCTTTCCCTCAAGGTGGTGTCATAGATGCTCTTTGGAAGAGAAGCAGCTTGGTCTATGTGATGTTTTGATAGTATAAATCAAGCTGAAGTTGAACACAAACATGTGTTAAGATGCTTGATAATTGCTCCTTGTTGACCACACAAGGGTGGCCCTTGGATTTCCAATAGAAATTAAAAGTGAGAAATGACCACGGAATGATATTCCTTGTTGTAAAAAGAAAGTGGGGAAGAGCAGTATAAAGGTTTTTTTATTTTATTATTATTATTATTATTATTATTATTATTATTATTATTATTATTATTATTATTATTATTATTATTATTATTATTATTATTATTATATTTTCCCCCAAATTCTTAAAGAATAAGAATATTAGAATCATGACTCAAAGTATAGCCGGTGGGTTTTATTCTTTAAGTCTAGAATTTTAATTTGTATTTATTCTCACAATTTGAAACCACTAAAAATGGGTGCGCATTTGTACTTTCATTCTTTACCAATATAGGATTTTAAATTGTTTTTATTTTCAAAAATTCTACTTTTAATAATGTTCATGATTGATTATGAATATGATCATTAGGGTTACATCTTCTATTTTTGATAGTGAAAGGTTTACTGCTGATGAATAATGAAGTTCATCAGTCGTCACCATCCTATTTTTATTTACTTTATTTAGATAAAGCTTATTTCTGCTTAAAGAAAAGATTACGGCGGCTCAAATTCTGTTTAGTAATTTAGAGGCCACTGAATTTTTTTTTACTAAAACATACTTCGTATTATTTTTGAAGCCATACAATTTATTCACGACCTTTTGCTTGAATATGAACACATCCAAATTGAAAATATTCCAATATCATTGAATAAATACTCCCTCGTTTTCAATTAAGACAGATGAATTATTGAGAATTCTTATTGAAAAAATGCTTATCAAGATTTAGTTTTTTTCTCAATTTATAGAAAGATTTCTTAGATAATAATGCTAAAAGAATGACAATATCTTCATTCTTCAATTGTTGATTTTACAAATTATAGCTATTTTTTTACCGGTTCCAACAAACTGTCAACTAATTTAATGAATTTTTTCTTAGTGAATCCCTCAACTTTGAATTAGTAGTTTCAACTAGGAAAAATGTAGACTCAGTAATAGTCAGCAATGAATCGCTAATTACGGTTCAATTATTATAAATTTGCTAAGTGCTAACTTAAGCGATTTACTGCTGACCGAGTCAGTTTAGCTGCTAGGGTGAAGAAAAAGTATGAAAACTTTTGTAAAACAAAGTATATGAGGAATTTTGGCTTTTTTTAGTAATGATCTTCTTTCAGATTTTTTTCTAATAAATCTCTTGGCTTTGTTATCCTCAGTTTTATTTTAGATAAGTCAAAATAAGATAAGAAAAATGCTAATAAGTTCAAACAAGATAAGGGATAGTAATGCCTAATAATAAGATAAGGCTAATAATTTAAGATTAAATAAGACAAGGATTAATAATTCCTAATTAAATAAGTAAAAT